AATCTAAGATTACGGATCATCTGTTTCAAGGACAGATGCCTAAACGTCTCATTTTAGGCTTTGTGGAGAATGCAGCATTTAATGGAGATCAAACTAAAAATCCCTTCCTTTGGGATGAAGAAATTAGATGTCAGTATCAACAGAGAGACCATGAGTACTCGTTGTTTTGAGCCCAATTTCAATGACGATTGGGGATCCGGGTTAGAATAGGTCCTCAGTACCGCCTTGCTTGTCGTAAAAGGCGACTAAATGGGCCGGTCCTTCGGATGAGACCGTATGAACCGAGGCCCCGTGTCACAGCAGGTGTGGCACGATAAAGATCCCTCCCTGCTCAAAGGCCGTAAGTGCCGAGCAAAGGCCTAAATTTGCAGCCCTTCACAGGCAATGGTGACGTCTCCATATCAGTGAAATATTCTGGAGAGGGACGTTAAACAGTATGAAATCAACCAATGATGATTTATATCTGAGATCTTATCTCAGTCTGTATCGAGCCCTGGGAAAATTAGGAGAAGATTGGGCTCCTGACATTACTCTAGAAGAGTATAAAAACGGATACACTCTGTGGGGCTGGGATTTCACCAAAGATCAAGAGGCACAGTCGGATAAATTCCACATCATAGAAATTGGAAATCTTAGAGAAATTCAGTTTACCAACAATACGGCTACCACCTTAAATTGTGTGGTTTATGCAGAATTTGATAACCTATTAGAAATTAAAAAAACACAGAGAAGTGAGTTTTGATTATTAATGGATACGGGACAATTAAGAGAAGTCTTGTCTAGAGAATTAAAGAGTTTTTTTGGTGGAGAGTACCCATTACATTTATTACCTGATCAATTAAGACCTGGAGAAAAAGCCAAAGTGGTGAAAACGGATCCCCAAGATCGACCTGAAGAACACTGGGTGTGCTTGTATGTGAGCAGCTCAGTGGTGGAATATTTTGATTCTTATGGATTTCCTCCCTTACAGAAAGAAATTCAAGACTTTATCCCGCGTCATGCTCACCAATGGATTTATAATCCGCATCGATATCAAGATTGGTATACAGATGTATGTGGACATTATTGCGTGTATTATTTACATCAAAGACAAAAAGAGAAAAAAAGCAGATGAATGGTTATTCCCCTTCGACCAGTCGCCCGCGTGGCGCAGTGGTTTAGAGCGTCTGCTCTAGAGTCGCGAAGTAAGGAGTCAATCCTTAAGTTGCGGGTTCGAATCCCACTGCGGGACGTGGAGACCGGTCCTTCGGATGAGACCGTATAAACCGAGGCCCCGTGTCGCAGTAGGTGCTGGCACGAAAAAGATCCCTCACTGCTCAAAGGCCCTGAGTGCCGAGCATAGGACAAAATCTGTACCCTCCACCGGCAAGTGGTGGCGTCTCCATATAAGTGAAAAATTTTCGAGAGGGACATTAAACAACATACAATCAATCAATCCCCTTTTACCAGAGTACAGTTTTACAAAGAGATCGTTATGTTGCTCAGTGGTTTAAAAACACTTACCATAAACTACCTACAGGTCATGGGCTAACTTGTCAATGCTTCTATCAAAATGTAATGTAATTGATTGCTGTTTGTTGTTGCTTGTTGTTAGATCTCAATAAAAAAAAGTTGTGTTTTTTTGTTATTTTTAAAAGTAGGTTATCTGCCTTTAACCATAGATTATTTTTCAATACACAAAACAAAGTGGTAAGGCTTTGATTGAAATTGTGGTAAAAATAGATATCATTTAAAGGTATAAATAGAAAGCAAGGTACAAACACACCTCAGTTGTTGACTGACTTCTAGGTACATGTATGATGAGCAAGAGTGTCTCTACAAAAATTGTGAATTTTATGGCCCCTGGGTCAGGGATTCTGGTGTTAGGGCGGGGCTCTATTGATTATAGAGTGAAAATGCATTAAATCTTTGAAAATCTTCTCTGCTCATAGGTATTAAATAAACTAAGTACATAGTTATGATGAGCAAGAGGGCTTCTACCAAAATTGTGAATTTTATGGCCCCAGGGTCAGTCGTTCTGGTATTAAGGCGGGGCTCTATTGATTATTATATAGTGAAAATGCATTTATTCTTTGAAAGGCTTCTTCTCTGCTCCTAGGTATTAAATAGACTAACTAAGTACATAGTTATGATGAGCAACAGTGCCTCTACAAAAATTGTGAATTTTATTGCCCAGGGTCAGGGGTTATGGTGTTAGGTTGTGGCTCTATAATGATTATATAGTGAAAATACATTACATCTATAAAAATCTTTTTTCTCTACTCTTGGGTTATAAGCAGATGAACTATTTGTTTTGTTATGATGTGCAAGGGCTCTTCTTCCAGAATTGTGAATTTCAAGGCCCCTGGGTCAGGGATACCAAAGAAGGAGGGGGGGTCTACTTATATACTAAAAATAAATTTTTGAAATCTGCTCCTTGGTATTAACCATTTTTGATAAGCAAGTGTACCTTTTCAAAAATTGTGCAATGTGTAGACCTAGGGTCAGCGGTTCATGTGAGGTAGGGGAACGTCTGATTATTGCTGAATATTACCGTTTAGTTGACATGCATTTTTGTTCCCTCACCCTGCTTATGGGTATCAAGTAAACAAACTAAAAATTTAAGTGTATAGTTATGATAAGCAATTGTGCCTCTATCAAAATGTGCATGCCATACCATCTAGCTAGAATATGAACCAAATTCAATCATTTGAAGGTTGTTGCATGATGCTCAGGTGACCTATAAGGCCCATGAGCCTCTTGTTCTATGGTGTCAAGTTATTTTGAAATCAGACCGAAACTGTAGCAGCAGCATTTTGAAAAATTGTTTACAGACGGACGGATACATTACTATCGCATAAGCTCCTCTGGATTCTGACCAGTTGTGCTAACAAGAAACCAAAAGTGCTAAATACAAGCATATGCAAAATGCAATTGAATGCATACATCCGATTGTAGATACAAGCAAGATACTTCACAAAGCTGTATGCTCGTAGTGCTTACTGGACCCTCAAATTGTCCGATGAGTCTAGCATGCTAACAATTTCCACACCCCGTACATTGCCTGAAAAGTCGGGTTTAATTTTACCTTAAATGCAATTTAAATGCTGCGATTATTTAATGTTTAAATGCATAATATAACATATTGTGGGATCGTAAATGTTAGAAAATAATAAGCATTTAATACGAGTTTAATGAAAAATTAAAAGAACAAATTTAATAAAGTTTGGAAAATTGTAAACTTACTAATACGTTCGGATTTAAGTCTGCCGTAAACAAGTATTATACCTCTAATATACAAAACGTATAATTATTATTAAACATGGCCATAAAATAAAGTTTTATGGTCATATTAAATTTGTTCGTTTAATAAAATTTAACGTAGATCTTTACCTCATTATTTTTTGTTAAATTCACACTTTACTTTATAATACTTCCAAAAATTACGTTTTATATGGAAAATTGTAAACTTACTTATACGTTCAAATTTTAATCTTTCATAAACTAATATTAAATCTCGTGTATAAGTGATGAAAATGTACGGATTAAACCTTCCCATATCATTAAGATTTAAAGTTGTATTTGATGAAATTTACTATTATTATATTATTGCATAATAATTTTATTTTATATTTATTCCATCAATAATTTGTATGGTTTACAATTGTGGGTTTTTTGGCAAGTATTTTACAATCATACACAAATGCATTTCTCATTCAGTTTTATTAGATGTTATCTCAATAGTCTACAAACAATGAGTTCTAACAAAGTACAAGATATTTCAAATTTATGCCTAAAAGTCAGAATTTAAAAATTTACAATCATGATTGTAGCTCAATTATAATGGAGTAAATTTCTACATACTAGTAGTAAGTAATATACTGAAGTAATTATAAATAATTTAATATAAAAATAGAATTGTATGTAAAATTTAAATCCGTAATAAATCAGAACACAACAGGTCAAAAATGTAGTCATTCTGGACTCCAAAAGACTGCAAAATATGACTGAAACTGCCCCTATTAAAACTGCTGCATGGGTTGTAAATGGCTTTTCAATTTCCCACAAAAAATTATATCATACTTTGCATAAACAGAATAAAAGTTGCCAATAAAAGTTGCCCATTCGTTTTACATGTACATTAAATAAGACACACTAAGCCACTGACAGAGAAGCCTCACTCGCCCACAAGCAACAGCAAAAGGATCGGTCAGAGACACCACCTTTCTCTTACTTGGGTATCAAGATCTGCAACTTACTGCCAGCAAAGCTCTTTCAGACCACCCTTATATTGTTTCCCAAGTATTTCCACAATAGATGTCCATGCACTAATTATTCAAGTTCGACTTGTAAAATACTTAATGTTGACTGAAAAATACAACACCCAAAAAATCCTTTATAACATTTGGTTATGTCAATTCAAAGTAAGAAAAAAGTATCACAATTACACAAAACAATAGCAGCTTAAAATTGTTTCCAAAACATGTAGCTCATTTCTGTTCCAACTGCTAGGTTTATTGCTTGATGATTGTAATTTAACATATCCTCATTAAATCAACATTACATTGGAATGCAAGACATTTCAATAGTGATATTTTTAACTTTGCCTTAAAATATCAAGAATGAGCTCTGAAACATGCACATATAGAAGTCCTGTATTAACAGTAGTATATTTTACAAATTTTTTTAAGCCTTAATTACAATTCCATTTTAATGGAAAAGATTCTCGTAATAAACTGTCTTACTTCAACTGGCAGGAAACAAATTAATATTTTACTCTTGCAATTCTCATTACTCTTTCAATATCAATTGTAATATTTATTAAAATCAAAATTCACCCCTTTTTTTACTCAGAAATGTCTCTACCTCATTTGCCTATTCTATTTTTTACATCTATGATTCACTAAGCCACTGACAGAGAAGCCTCACTCGCCCACAAGCAACAGCAAAAGGATCGGTCAGAGACGCCACCTCTCTCTTACTTGGGTATCAAGATCTGCAACTTACTGCAAACGAAGCTCTTTTTGACTACCCTTGATTGTCTTATTTTTTTCCACAATAATTTCCATGCAGTCATTATTTAAGTCAGACTTGTACATATATGTAATATATAAATCAAGATTAAAATGTATGTGATTGCATACTACACAACAAACCAATAAATGTTTAAACAATAAAAAACATAACAGTTTCAATCTGTAATCAAGCATCAGAAAAAAATTTCACTGTCAAAAATACAACACTAGGTATATTTTTTTTCTTATCTAACATTGAATGTGTCAATTAAAGATAAGTAAAACAAGCATCACATTTGTGCAAAAAAGTAGCAACTCAGATATTTCATCTCTAATAGCCCATCTCTGTTCAATTACTGCATCCATAGGGTTGACTCTTTTTGATTCTTTATTTGTCCTAGCTCTCCTTATGCTCTGCCTTTTAGAGTGCTTTGATTTGAGAGTTGCACTTTTGGTGTCCTGTTCTTTGAAGACTTTCTCACATTCATCAGAACGCAACTTCAGTTTTCTAATTTCATAGATAGTATTATCTTTAGAATCATTTTTTTGTACTATGAAGACGTAATCAATATTTAAAACTGCTTCTTCTTGCTTTTTCTTCTCTTCAGGCCAAGAAGTTTTCAGCTCTGGAGAAGCACATCTAGCTCCTAATTTCTACAACAAACATAAAAATAAATACCCATTTGCCTATATATACATATTATAAGTGTGCTTCCGGATTTATGCAATTGCATATATTAAATACTACACAAAATCTGAGTTGATTGTAAAATTATCAATTGACCTAGAGGAAACACAGCTCAATTTTGATTAATTAAAAAAAAAAAATTACAGAGGACCACAAAAGATATGCCATTTTTTCAAGTCTGGGTAATAAAGACAGATAATTATCTATAATTTCAGGCAAGCGATCGAGCTACAGATTATGAAGCTAATGTTGTTATACATGTAAATTGGGGACTATTGTTTTTTTTTGCCATCTTTTTTTGTTTTTGGAGCATTTTATTACTATGTTTACCTGCTTGACCTTGAACATGTGAAGTGTCCTTTTCTCTGCTCCTCCGGAATATATTTTTTTTTTCATTTAGCAGCAAGATACTATGGATATGGTAAAAAGCTGTCACAAACAAAATATGAAAAATTAATAACAGGTGTGGCTCTCCGTAGAAAGAATATACAAAAAAGGAGAAAAAAATATACAAATAGGGTATACTTATGACTAAAGCAAGAAGATAACATTTTACACAATGAAAAAAATTCTCTGTGTCATCTAGGTAAGTGAATTACATAAAAAAAAAACCATATAATTATATGTATAGATCAAATTTATAGACAACAAAATATGATATGAAACATGCATAATGGTACCGTAGTCCGAACACATGGAATTTGAAGATTTACAAAGTTTACAAAATGAAAAGAATAGCATTTACAGCATTTAATATATTAAGACATACGTATCTATATTTTAACAGCAGCAAGCTACAGATTTTGTGGAAGTACATGTAAATTGGGGACTAGTGACTTTTTGCCATTTCTTTTTTTGAGCAATTTACCAATGTATTTACCTGCTTGACCTTGAATATGTTGAGATGCACAGCCCTTTTCTTTGTGTTCCTCCACGATATTTTATTTAATGTTACAGAAAGATACTATGGATAAAAAAATATGAAAAATTAAATGCATGTATGGCATCTCGTAGAAAAAATATACAAACTGATGTATTTATGATTAGAGCAAGTAGATAACATTCATACAATAATAAAATCCTTAATCTTTGTGATCTAGTTCAGCGAATTATTTCAAAAACATATTATGATATGTATTAGATTAAATTTAGAGACAACAAAACATGATATGAAATGGATGTACATACTCGGAACACATTGAATTTAAGAGTAAACAAAAATGCAAAGGTTAGCATCTACAGCATTTAACATGCAAGTTATTGGGATAATGAGCAAGTGATTTATTTATAAACTAAAATATATTTAATTTAACAACTTACACTGTAGATAGCAGGTTTTTAAAGTGGACAGCAAATGCAAAGTTCTAGTAAATGGTGGCAATCTCATACACAATAAGTCGTACAACAAATGATTAGTTCGTACCTCATACTGGGTAGCCAAACATCTGGTCAAGTAGCTTTCAGAAGGAAGGCTCAGCAAGTTCAATGTTGATCATTCCCATAGCTACTTCAAACTTTTCTGGCACAATTTCTGAAAGAAAAGATGTATCTTGCAGGGTTTTTTTGTTCAAACTAGGATTAATTCTCATGAATGTAAAAATTTGAAAAGTTTATATATGACAGACAAATACCAGACACAGATAAGAAAACTCGCTCGGGTCTTAAAATGGCTCAGGTGAGCTAAAAAAATCAATTCATGTGATTTTATTGATCTTATCAGAAAATTTAAGAAATCTTTCTTCCTACTGCTTTTGTCATTTCTTGTGATCATTCCTGTAAATAATGCATGCATAATTGTGCATCATAGAATATGATAGCTATTTTTAATAATTCATGCTTAAGTATTTAACGTAAAAAAAATTATGCATAGCTCAGAATCCATTGCTGTTGTATTTTTAGGATAAGGAAAATAAGAATATAAACCTCATCTTGTTTACTTGGTATATAGCATTTCAAGCTGTTGCAATATTTTTTATAGTCTTATGCTTAAAGATACAGGTTGATAAAACATTGTTAGTTTATTTGTGTTAATTGAAAATTTGAGCTGCATGGTTCTCACCATTTTCACAAGCTGTCTACATAGCCGGCGATGTGGGGAATCGTCTCAGGCACAGTCCACTGCAACTATTTAAATAATCAAAATAAGTGCTGAATATATTCTTGAGTATGCATAAGAAATAAATAAATATTTTATTACATTGTACAACATACTCAGTCTGTAAATGCTGAACAGAGGAACACTTTAATGACTAAAATTCTGAAACCAATACCAAACGAGAAAATTCTGGTTAAAATCCATCTTTAAGAGAGATAATTGAAAGTGTTAAATAATTATTACAAAATTTAAATAGCGCTTGCCCAAACGCTTTTACTGCCAGGCATTTTATGTGTAGTGCCCAGACTAAGGAACAGTAACATTATCAGTAGCAGAGGCAATTATTCATTCAAGGACACATGATAAAATTTGTACAATGTACATTGTTCCTACCGCTAAACAGGGTCGTAAATGTCTTCATCTTCTGTGAAAACGGAAATTACATCCAAAGTTAATCATGCTTCTCCTTTTCGTGTCACTCTCTTTTGCCCCGTACAACATCATGATCAAGTTCAACATGGCTGCGCGGAACTCTCCAAAAAATTGAATTTCGGCGCGGTGTGTTGTTTTTAAATTAATTGCTTTTCGAGCCCGACTTCGATCCCGATGTAATTGTACTACAGTAGTAGTCGATCATAGAGAAAAAAACTAAGTTATATTCCATAGTTTTGAAAAAATCTACATAAGGGTTAAATAAATAAAAATGAGAAATGAATAAATTAAATTAATAGGGTGCCTAAACGTTTTCTTTCAAAAATGTTTCAACATAAGTTTACATTAGGTATAAAGAATTATTTATGACATATTGAAAATACCAAAAATGTACTTAAACTTTAAGTATAAGCATATTTACTTTAACATGTCGATATTCTTAAACGACACGTATAATTTTCTCTATTAAACTATATTATTCTCGACGTATTTTGCATTAAATGTGATTATACTTATTTGAAAACTGTACTTAATTATATCACAATATATCTCATATAAAATGTACCGTTATACATAAATTAAATTCAATACAAGAAATTTACTGGAGTAAACGAATTTATTAAATTATATTAAACGCGACTTTTCATGCAGTGGTATGGTAGATATAGGTTCCTTAGACTCCCATTTTGTCTTCAGTCGTCTCAGGACGAATTCCAACGTAAAATTGACGAATGCGTTGACGACCTACCCGGCCTTGTTGCAATAGTTGATTATGTTCTCGTCTATAGCAAGACTAAGACAAAATATGACGTAAACTTGCATGCTGTTCTCCAACGATGCAGGAAGAAATGTATAAAGCTTAATTCTGAGAAACTATCTGTTGGTCAAACAGAACTTGGTTATTTTAGGCACTTCATTTCAGCACAAGGTCTAAAGCCCGATCCTAAAAAGGTCAAAGCCGTCAGTGAAATGCAATTCCCAAAACATCGCAGTGAGCTCGAAACTCTGTTAGGTATGATTACCTATTTGGCGAAGTGCCTAGCCTTTAAGAGGTGACTGCTCCTATGAGGAAGCCATTATCGCCAAAGTCTGAATGTATTCGGGATGCTGCTCAAGATGAAGCCTTTAACAAGGTCAAGGTATTCTAAATAGGTCTCAAGGTCGTCTTCTTTCGTATTATAACCCAGACGAGAATATAGTACAACAGGTTGATGCTTCAAAGCCTGGGTTAGGTGCCACTGTATTGCACGATGGTAAGCCTGCATTCTACACTTCAAAAGCTCTGACTCCTAGTGAAGTCAGTTATGCCCAGATTGAAAAAGAGATGTACGCAATAGTATTCTCGTGTTGATATTTTCACCAATACATTTATAGTAAGGAGGTGACGGTTCAAACTGATCACAAACCTTTGGTTTCTGTTATCCAGAAACCCATTAACTCGCATCTTGCAACGTATGATACTGCAACTCCAGAGATACTCACTTCACTTACCACGTGTCCCTGGTGAGAAGATCCCTTTGGCAGACTCTGTTCAGAAAAGACTCTAAATCAGAGGACTTGAAGTCCAAGTTCACATGATATCTAGCTATATATCAATGAATGATGTCTGTCTCAATAGAATTAGGTATGAAACTGCTCAAGATTCTAAGTTAGTGACCTTGACAAGTATTATCCTGAAGCCGTATTCATAGGCCTTATTTAGATCTCTGGGGACTATACAAAGTCTTACGGACCCATTGGGCTTTTCCGCAACCACAAGGAAATTGACCCATTGAGTAGGTTCCTTGACCCTGATAATGAATTTTTCTCTTTCAATCTTATCCAACTCCTCAACTTTCAGTTTTTTTGGATTTGACCTGTGGAACTCTACGTGGAGGGTCTATTACTGGCTGAACCTCAATTTTAACTTCCCCTGGGAACAGACCTATACCACTGAATACGTCGTTGTACTCGGTGAGTGCACCTTCCTTATCGAGAGGCTTGAGGGAAGGTGTGTTGATTGCAGAACCAACCAACTTGACAAGTTTCAGGTTTAAACAAGAGGTTAGTCCCAGGATAGGTGGAGCTTTTCTCCTGTGTATATCAATAATATGATTTTTTTTTGGGGGGGGAGGGTACCCTTTTGCTTTTACAATCAACATGTAGACTTCATATCCCTATTGACTTGAATGGGAATCCCCATAACCTACAAGATTTTGGGCTGGGTGGAAAGGGTACCTTGCTTTCATGCGTTAAAACACATCTAGAGGTAGGGCATTCACTTGTGACCCAGTATCTAATTTACAATGCCACAGGAATCTGCATGCATTACATTCAATTCAGCAAATGCTTCACTTTTCCTAACACTGGTTCATCAATAGGCAATACAATCAATAAATAAACCATCATAATCATCAGTGACATTATCATATCATTATACTTATCACCATCACAATATTCTGATTCACGAATTTCAATAACACTTGAGAGAAATGCTTCCACTTCCTGATTTGCGTCACTGTTTTCCTCTTGCAAGACATCGCACGTCTCTTTTTGTGATCAAAACCATAGTTTGGGCACCTGCTCTGATGCGCGCTCGAATTGTATCGCCATCGATGTTCATCTCGTCTTTTACACTGTGTGCGTCTCTCACGCGACAGTGTTGTCGATCTGCAATGATGCATGTTTGCTCTGCTTCGCCCCCTTTGAAGTGGTCTGTAACGATTCACTGGACTGACATCCATGGTTCATGAATAACAATAGAACACCATTTTTAATTGTATTGCGCATGCTTAGTTAATCACTATATCGTACACAAATCAGTTCGTAATAATCATAATAACATAACATGTACTCCCTTACATATGATACCTTTTTGAATGTGCTACATAGTATTGTTGATGTTTTGTTATTGTAGCATCTACAGTTTATTCCAAGAGAATTAATTAGGTACGCTAGCTGTTTGTGTTCACGACTTTTAGAGGTAGCATAGTAGATAACTTCCGGTCGTGATGTCAAAACCAAATCAACAAGAGATACCCTCCTGGGAACAACAAACTCATGTTCAGCCAGGCATCCTGGAAACAGAACCAACGAATATGACTTCAGAAAGGGTTAAAATTCCAACACAAAAGGCACAATAACAATTACAGGAAATATGAAATAAAGTTAAGTGAAGCCTTTTTCAGATAGAAAATAGAATTTGATCCAATTTTGAAGAATCTACACGGCCTACGTGTTCAAAATTGTTAACATTGAGCTCAATTCGCGATAAGATTCTGAGAAACTTTGCCCTATATTAACAAGATTACAATGAAGGTCAGTATTTCATAAACAGACACAATTACAGTGAATGTGCACGAATTTTAATAGACAATAGCTGTACCGTGTAGACTAGTAAGTGAAGATACAAAATCTTGTTTGACAAAACTTAACGAGATTATAAGATCATT